GGGTGGGCAGCTAGTGGACCAGCAGTGGGGGGGGGATTACAGTGAATTACCCTCTTATCTGGGAGTGGGGGGGCAGTAAATGATTTCGGTTATTGCGGTTGACTGCCAGCAGCCCGCCCCGGTATAGGTGAGTGACGGTAATGATGTTATCTGCCCCGTCCCAGGCTGATGGGGCCACACGGCCGGGACCATGGGGGTGGGGCTTATCACCGCGCTATTCTTAGCCTTCGGGAAAAGACGGCCTTCTGTCAGCGCGGGCCACAGTGACGCGGGGCCACCTCACGACAGAGCCAGGAATGTCCGCAGTACTGAAAAGCAGCAGTGCAGGGGGCATATGCAGGGGCGGCTCAACGGGGACACAGGTCCCAGCTGAAAGCTGATTGGCTCCCAGACTGCCCCCTACCCTGTCACTCACCGTTTCAAAACATATCATTTTCTCTGTATGAATTATGCTCCTTCCTATGTCCCCCCCACCCTATAGAATCTGACGCATTATTCTTTCTGGATCTCAGGTCACTAGAGGGCCACAGGGCAGCCAAAGGGAACGCTGCAGAATTTGACATTTTTAACACGTGCTATAATACGATGGGGGGGCCTGGTCTCTAGGGGGTATAGTGGGTGTTATACGCAGGCTCATCAGCTGTGTAACACCGGACCACATGTATCACCCGAGCCCCCCCCCCCAGAGAATGAACATGGTTATTTTGCTTCTAACCCTGCAGTATATTTCTGTGTTAGAAGCTCAGTCTCCTCCAAAAATGAAGCTTTGCTTCTTCAGCAGGGTGACAGGCCTGAATGAACGGGGTCATTGTTAAGTGGACAGCCCCCCCCCCCCACCCAGCTCCGAGGCCGCGGCGGGGGCTGGAATATCAGGCTCTCTGCACCGAGGTGCCAGGGGGACAATACACCAGAGCAGCGGGGGCTGTTTTTAAAGAGCTCTTTCCTACCCTTAGAGGCTCGGCCTTTCCCGAGGCAGTGGGAGGGGGCACGTGCATCCATCTCTGATACGGGATTGGGGGGGGGGCAGTGGCCAGGCGTGGGTCACAGCAGGTAGACATGAACCCTTTGTATTACGATGTGAGGCTGGCTAAGGCAAAGCCACAATCGCGTTCTTTTCAGGGAGCCGTTTCAGTCTCGTCCTCAGTCAGCCACAAGGGTGTCTGCATCTCCCGCTTCTCCGTCTGTCTGTCTCTGTATGTATACAAAGATGCATGTTTACACAAGCACGCATGCACACAATTTTTTATACACTTATACTTTTATAACCTCCTATAAAGATACGTCTCTCTGCTTTGTTTTTGTTTTCATACCTACTGGAGAAGCTCAGGGCTGGGCCCACTGGTACCAGCTGAAAGCTGATTGGCCCCCATTGTGCCGCTCCCCTTGTCACTCAATGAAACCACCGATATCATTGGTTGGCCACTCTTATGTCAAATACCTTAAAAAAAAAAAAAAACCCTACAGATGACTACCGCTGAGGCAGTGACGCTCAATGATACTCTATGTGTCCAGCTGTGTTTTTCTTTGGGGGTGGGGTTAAAGTCTGACTGAGATGATCGGGGGGTGAGGACAGGGAGATCCTTCCTCCCACACCCCTAACCCCGGCACAGAAACCCTCCTGTATCATTCCTGCTATTTGTTAGAACTACCGTCTGTAATGTGAGATTATGGCAATCAGCAGCGGGGGGGCGCCCATGAGTTCTGGGGGCGAGTGTCACTCTCAACACCCCGGAATGAGATCACGCCGGATGCCATTAGGATGCGTTCTCGGTCCGGGGGGGTTTAGCAGAATCCAGGAGGCAAAGAGATCACACCATCACCACTGTCTGATGGAGAGGCATCTTCGTACGCCGAACGGCCACCGGTCTTTGCCCTTAATTCCACCCCCCTCCCTGCAGTCTGCTTTTTGGAGGGTGGGGGGCGGTACGTACGCCTCGTGTGAATGTGGGGGGAGGGCTGCCAAGCAGCAGCGTTTTGTCAGACAGAGATAACTACCCAGCGAGGAGGTAACTTACCCCCAGCGAGGAGCTTCCCTCAAAGCGAAAGCAGCCCCCGGTCATTAGCGAAGCAGGTTATGAACCTGAGGGGCCCCGTCCCCAGGCAGACGGCGGGGGCCCCGCTTTACAGTCGACAGGCTGCGTGTTTCAGGTCACAAAGCGTGACGAATAACCAAACCTGTCTTCTACCAGCGAGTTCGAACCTTGCTGCCGTCCCCTGGAGCTGGGGGGGGGTTTAGTGAAAGAGTGGGCGGAATTTAATATCTGCTACCCGGCAGATAATTATCATATAAGCCCAGAGCACAGCGCATGAAGGATGTACACACAGTGCTGTGTGATTGCAGAGCTGGGCGTGAGGATAGACATTAGCCCCCTGAACCGAAAATTCACTTAAAATATCCTGCATGAAATAAAGGCGACAGATATCCTTACAGTGCATGGAAACCAGGCGGGATGTGAATAATCACACCCCACCCCCCACCCCCGTTTGAGAGACCACTGCCTCCAGCTTTCCGAAATAACCAGATTAACTGCGTTTCACCAGTTTGCGTACACGCCTGCCAGGCCGGGCCACACCCCCGTCCCCCGCCCAAGGCGAGTGGCTGTCCCTTATCCTGACTGCTAAACTCTCCGTGACCTCGGCTAGCCCTTTGCCGGCCGTGGAGGTCTGGAAAGAAACAGCCCGGCTCTGGGAGAAAATTCATCTAGGAAAACAAACCGTTCCGCCGGATTGTGGAGAGACTCTGGGCGAGAAAAATCAATAACGGCGAGAGCGCAGACGGCTGAGGAGAGCGGGCCGGGCGGCACGGAGAGAGCCACAGAGCTGCGGATTAATAAGAACGCCAGCCGTGAAGACTGCAGTCAGGCTGCATCCCGCCACATACACACACAGCTTTGGACGCTTGAAGTTGTAGAAACAGGACTCATTTGAGGTCCTACAGGCAGCGAGGGTAACGCCTGACCTCTGGAACCTAACCAAGATGCCACACCCCTTTTATGGAGTTTCCGGTCTGGATTTATCTCCAGGGATGGTCCACAACAGACACATTCCATATTCACTATGCTGAATGTCTCGAATCAGTCACAAACACCCCCCCCAGCCCCTTCATTTTATTCTTCTTTTTTTTTTTCCTCCCTCCATCCTCCCATGTTTACCACACGGCTGCCGGAACCCACCTGAGTTCCCCGTCCACGAGGATTTTGACAAGGACGCGTTTAAAAAACACAGCACACAGACACGTATCCTTACACCTTCGGCTGTCTTCGCTAGCTCGCTAATTAGCTGCACGTCGCTTCCGGAATTTCCCAAATAATCGCAAAAGATCATGAAAGATTTTTACCAAAAAAAAAAAAAGAGAGATGAATAACGTACAGTAACACGCATCCATTAGGGCGGCGAGAAACCCGCTCACACCGCCCAAGGTCGTCAACCTCGTTTGAAGTTACAATGCCGGTTTTGCTGCAAGGCAACCATAGACGAATCCTGGCATCTGAGAAAGGTAATTGGCTCATGAAAGCGGGAAATGCTTTCTGGGATCCCGTAGCATTTAATAAGATACACAAAGACAAGCAGCGTGGACATTAGCGTGTCAGGGATGTAATTACATGCTTGCTTTCTAAGCCACTGCGGGAAAATGTAATCAGGGTCCACTGATCTCCAAGACCACGCGAGTTACCTGCGGGCTGCCCGGACCGCTGCCCTCTGTTGCATTAGCAAATGAATGGGACCCCCGCCTTGTACTGCTCTGGCCCGGCGGGAACTCCATCCGCACTGGCATCGACGCCAACAGCAGCATCAACACCATCATTAAACAAACACCTTCTGAAAGACGCCATTAGTCTGAGAAGAAAGCCTGGATCAATGTGGAGAACAAGGTACCCCTCCACATTATACACCACAAGATGTGGGGGGGGGGGGGGTTCAATCTCAAAGCCAGGCACACAGACTGATGCTAGAGTCCCGTCAAACTTGATCTACGCATGTGCAAGTAATCTTTTCCGAGAATATTACATAAGATCACCCCAGCAACACCTACCCTTCACCTAGAACCGTGGGTTAAATCCGAGATCAGTCTCATGAATACTGCCCCCCACTGATGAGCATTGGCACATGCATTGGTACATGCACCCATGAGGGGACAGAGACGGCTGTCAGCTGGCTCCTCTGCGCCCAGAATGAACCCTTCAGGAGACTGCCAAGAGGGGGGGTTCCTGTCTGGCTGATCTGGAACAGGCTGGCTGCGAGCCCAGCGTTTGAAGGTGCCGTTTGATCGAGCGTGGGTCCCCTCCCCTCACCTCTGCATGCCAAGAGAACCACCACAGGTAAGAATAAATTACCCGGGGATGGAGCGACCCCACAGGGCAACACGCAGACGTCACACAAAGCACACGGCCGCTGCACATTGATGCCTAAGCACACACACAACATAGCACTGCAACTGGCTTTCAGAATTACGAAGGTCATTTTGACCACAAGAGGACTGTCCTACTATGCTGGGGTGTGGCCCAGTGATGCTGGCCCAGTGAGGCATCTTACCCGGGCTTATCGAAACAGGGGTCCCTCACATGGGACACAAACCCCAACCGGCTGCTCCCAAACCAGCGGCCCGCTCTACGGCAGGACGTCCAGACCAGAGGATGAGGAAAAGACCGAGGACAGGGTTAGCATCCAGCGGTAACATCAGGGCTGGCGAATACGACATTACAGCCACGAACGAAATCCCACAGGAGGCCGGACCCATCATCACTTCGGCATAAGAGAAGAATCGATTTCCCGCTTTTCTCCGGGCTGCCCACGGGGAAGACACTGGAGGTGTTCGGGGCAACGTTAAGCAGCATCATGAGGGGGTGGAGGTATCATCTCTGCTTGCCCTGCCCCGTATCCATTTGTTTGTTTAGGTCACCATTTGGACCAGTATGGCGATGGCCACTAGGGGGCGCCGGCACCTCAAACCCCAGAAACGACAGACCCGAGGCGTAACAGAAAAAACACGCAGACCACGCTTCCTCTAATCCAGTTTATTCTCGTTCAGCAAAAAGGGGGAGGAAAGAAAGAAAGAAAAGGAACAAAATAATAGATACAGAATAGTCTTTTTTGTCTTTTGTGTTTTTTTCTTTACAATGTTAAACTAAAAATGCGGCTCTATTCTACTGTAAGTAAATCTGAAACAATAAGGATACATGTAGCAGTTCTCTCTGGATGGGAGCTCACACTCGTCCTGCTCCTGCATTTTTAAATTCGGATCTGAACAGAAAACAGCTTTCAAATTAAAAGCACCTGAAAACTCGAGCACTCGTGGACACCCCTCCCCCCCAACACAGCCCCCCCTCCACAGGCCCCTCCCCTTATCGTCACACCCTCTACTACCCCCGGTCTGCAAAGAGGAGGCGGGCAAGAGGGCGTGCAGGAATCGGAACAGCAGAGAGGTGCGAGAGTGAAGATGAGGGTGCAGGACACCTGACAGAGGAAGGGGGTGCCACTGAGGAAATTAAGGCAGGGAGGGGGGGGGGTATGGCAGCCATCACTGAGAACAAATAAAGTGTTATGAGGGTGATGAGGGAGACTGGAAGACCATGACTGTGTGTGTGGTCTCCGCAGTCTGACACCCTCTCAGCCGCTTGCCAACGGCACCGGGTTCGAGCCAAAGAGGCCAGCCTGGGGGCATGGCCTTGGCATCACTGGGGTGCAGAGCTTCACCCACGCTAACGGCCACATACTGGAGGATGGTCCAGGACCAGTCCTTCTGAGCCAGAACCCAGACAGCCCCAGGCCTCCCAGCCACACCCAGCTTCTGGGATAGCACCCCCCTCCACCCCCCAGTCTCTCACACACACATGCACACACACCCACACTTGTGCCGATCAGTCTCAGTCCACCCGTAGCCTTAGAGTGCTGCAGGCTACAGTCTGAACTGCAGATTGACAAGACCGCCCCCCCCCCCACCCCCAACGGAAGCATGAAGCACCAAGAGGACAGGTGGACTCCACGAGCCAGCAAGAGGCTGCTCTCCAGGTCCAATCCAGACCTGAGACAAGCAGGCGATCGTCCAGGTGACCCTGCATGACCAGACTGGGTAAGACTGCTAGTCAGGGACCTGAGGTGGCCTATGTGACATGCAGGGGGGCGGGGCTAAGCCTGGGAAGAGGGGTGGGGATTGGAGGAGGCGAGGACTAGCAGTCCACTCCCCAGCCACCTTCCCACAAGCTCAGGGCAGCCAGCCTCAACCCCACCCCTGACCTCATACTGAAAAAATGGGGAGAAGTTAAGGCTGACAGGCGAGGGCTGAGTGGGCAGAGGTCAAAGGTCAGGGGAGGGGCGCAGGCCGCTGTACCACGTCAAAGCAGTGCCTGGCGGGAGATGCGATGTGCAGTGGGGGACAGTCTGAGGTGGAGGGGGAAAGGCCCCCACGATGTCATCTGTCTGTCTGTGGAAGGGGGTGGGGCTTGGGGAAAGCGTGGGGGGTGGGGTGGGGGAAAAGACTGTCGCCGTTCAGGAACACTCCTCTCCGATGCGCTGACACGACCGGCCCACCTTGCGGTCCAACTTGACCATCTTGAGCACGGCCTCCTGCCGACCACGGCCCAGGTGGTCGAACAGGCAGTCATGCTGCTCAGGCAGACGGTGCAGCATGCAGAACACGTGACCTGCGGGGGGTGGGAAGAGGGCAGTCACAGAACCTTCCAGAAGAGCCACTCGGGTGACAGACTTTGGAGTTTGGGCTAAAGCGAGCGGCTCTCCTTGAGACTGACCGCAGCGACAGGAGCCCAACTCCTGCTGCACGAGCTCCAGCTTGCTCTGACAGCGGTGGCAGCGCCGCCGGCTCTTCTGCTTGGGTTCGGCTCGCGGTTCCTCGTCGTCGGGCCGTGTCCGCTTCTGCGGCGATGCCTCGCTCTCCGACCCCGAGGCTGTGGGAGGGACGGACCTCGGTCAGTCTAAACGTTTGTCAGGACATGCCGCAGGTCCATCGAGAAAGATCTAGAAGCCCTGGCCTGGCTGATCATGTGACTGTGGCCTGGCGGTGACAATCTCAACCCGGTTTGGATTCACTCTTACATACAGACGCAGAGGGACCGGCTGACTGTCCCGGTAATGCCTATTATTCTCATAACCGCAAACTGGAAAACAATAATTCAAATCTCCTCCATATTAATGGCTACAGCGGCCACCCCATGGACAGACCTCACTCATCACAGATCCAGCACGTGGCTGAGAGCCGCAGCAACGTACCAGAGTCAAAGGTCCGTTTCGTGGGCGTGGATAGCGTGCCGCAGGCTGTGTCTGTACTGGAGATCCCTGCAAGGAGGAGAGGGACACCGTGAGGAGAGCGCAGGGGCAGCAGAAAAGTGACAATTTTTTTCTCGCGGGTCATTAAAGCCCTGAAGCGCGAGAGAGGAAGCTAGGGCCATAATGGGCTGCGTGACTACGGCCACTGAGCATGACCCCCCTGCGACCCGCCGTTAAATCACAGCCAGGGCAGAAGTTACCTGTAGGTAACGGGAGGGATAAGAAACAGCAGGCAGCTGGCTGTGGGCGGAGCCATTATGAAAAGGGCTGCGATATGAACATCTGAAAGGACCTGACTATGTTTCTCAATGATCTCTAGCTCTGAAGCAAGGAGCCAGAGCTGCTCTCGCCATCACGGGGTTGGTGTGTGTCTGCCGGCGATGAGATGCTGTTAGACGGGTAAACGGAACAGCTGAGTGCCCAACCTCCCCCCCCCCCCCCGAGAACAGAAGGCCATTCCAGACGCTTATTATATTTCAGTATCGACACACCTGATTCGGCTAATTAGGGGCTTGGATTTCAGCTCGTTACTCTAATCAGACCGTCTGAACAAACGGCTGGCGGCCTCCAGAGGGGTCTGAGTATGATGGACGGCACGCTGGCGTACTCACCCTCCTGAGCAGGAGGGGGCGCCAGGCCCAAGGCTTCAGGCGACGGCTCCTCAGAGCTGGAGGGCACCGACGTCAGGGATTGGCTACTGCTGCTGCTCGTCTCGCTACAGAACACTGCTGATTGGCTGCCGCCAGTCCCAGGGGCGGGCTCTGGGGTGCAGTCCTCGTCCGGCTGCTTTTTCTGGATGTCTGTGGAGGGAGACAGTGGGAAACAGAGGATAGGAGGAGTGAGACCTTGGGGGAAGAGGGGGGGAGGGGGACATGAGATATTTGGCAAAAGAGAGGCCTGAAGGGGAAGCACGTCCCCCTCTCCATCGCAGGCAGACAATTTGCCTATTGACAGAGTGGCTATAAGTGGAACTACCCCTCTGTGCGTGCAGAAAGCCGGGAGGGGGCACAGCACACACACACACACACACACACACACACACACACACACAC